CATCTTCATGACATTAACAGCTGTCACGTGTTCTTGCCTCCATACGCTCAGAGGTGCCGCGTGTTTTATTTCTTTTTGCGTGTTTGAATTTTGGTGATTTTTCCTTCGCGTGTGTGTTGGAGAGGGGGGGAGGAAGGGAAGGAGGGATAGAGGAAGGAAGAAGGGGAGAGAGAGAGAGAGAGAGAGAGAGAGAGAGAGAGAGAGAGAGAGAGAGAGAGAGAGAGAGAATGAAGAAAGAGAGAGAGAAAATGAATGAAGAGAAAGAGAGAGAGAGAAAATGAATATATATATATATATATATATATATATATATATATATATATATATATATATATATATATATATATATATATATAGAGAGAGAGAGAGAGAGAGAGAGAGAGAGAGAGAGAGAGAGAGAAAGAGAGAGACAGCGAGAGTTTATGCGTATTTTTTCCCTTTTCGACTACAAAAAATAACAGGAAATGATTAGGAACAGAATACATACCAGAACAAGATTATTTATACACTCACTATATTAAAAAAAAAAAGGCAAATACATAATGAAACGGATATCTACACAACTACAAGGAAATAAACAAACAACTAAATAAACACATCATACATCAATAAATATCGAGAGCAAAGCATATAAAAGCACCGAAATAAAACAAACAAACAAACAGACAGACAGACCCTCTCCCTCAAAAATAAAAAACGTCCCGACTCATACACTCAGGCTTCATTTATCACGATAATCCAAAATGGTGCCAAATTATGCATATATATATATCATTACCTCCGTCCATGCCCATCCCCCCCCCCCCCGCCCACTGGCATACCACCCTACTCACCTACATTACAGTATGACGTGCTCGAATACTCTGACGGTGTACTGACGGTGAAATTAACAAAAAAAAAAAAAAAAAAAAAAATAAACAGGGCAATGGAAACCGAACTTTGTACATTCCCCGTTTCGAATGAAAAATGGCGGGAAATTTTGTTTTGCCTTTTTTATTGTTTTTTTTTATTATTAGGAGCGGTAGGTATAACCGTGACAAATCGTGAGAATGGGAAATATTGCACTTGCAAATAGCGCATATAAGCAAGTGAACGAACACATACACACACACACACGCGCGCGCGCGCGCAGATAGATAGATAGAGTTAAAATAGATAGATAGTTCAGATAGAGAGAGAGGGGGGGGGTAGTTATGACAGGGATAGATAGATAGTTAAGATAGAAACAGAGATGGAAAAAGAGAGGGAGAGAGAAAGAGAAAGAGAGATGGATAAAGATAAGAGATAGAGAGAGAGGGGGAGAGGGGGAGGGAGGGAGGGAGGGGAGGGGAGAGAGGAGAGAAAGGGAAACAGAGAGGAGAGAGAGAGAGAGACAAACAGAGAGAGAGAGAGAGAGAGAGAGAGAGAGAGAGAGAGAGAGAGAGAGAGAGAGAGAGGGGGGGGGGAGGACAAAGTTGTGGCGGGGGATATGCGCACTGGACCAGTACTTCCCTGGAAATGCATAGAAAAAATGCAAGTAATTCGTCACTCCGGAGCATGACTGGAACATCCCTTTTCCTCCCTCCTTCCTCTCCTCTTCTCTTCGCCCCCTTCTCTTTCTTCCTATTTCTTCTCTTCCCTTCATTTCTCGTTCTCCCCTCTTTCCCTTATTTCTTGCTCTCCCCTCTGCACTTCATTTTCCTCCCCGTTCTCTTCTCTCGCTCCTTCCTCTCCTCTCTCTCTCTCTCCATTTAGACTCCCCCCCCCCCTTCTCTTCTCTCACTCCCTCCTCTCCTTCTCTCTCTCCATTTCCTCTTCTCATTACATCATTATGTTATGTACTCACCATCGTAACATTAATAAATATATTTACCATGCACCACGACAGTTATCAAAATCACATCACATAAAATATCTTTCACATGAAATATGTTTCTTTGCAGAATATCTTTCATCATAAGAACAAGACTACATAATATCGCAATGATCACCACACCATCATCATCCTCACTTCAAGCATTACAGTCCTCACTATTACAGTATACGCTGCAGTGACGGAGAGGGAGAGGGAGGAGAGGGGGAGAGGGAGAGAGGGGGAGAGGGGGGAGAGGGGGAGGGAGAGAGGGAGGAGGGGGAGAGGGGGAGGGAGAGAGGGAGGAGGGGGAGGGGGAGAGAGTGAGAGTGAGGAGGGGGAGAGAAGAGAGAGAGAGAGAGAGAGAGAGAGAGAGAGAGAGAGAGAGAGAGAGAGAGAGAGAGAGAGAGAGAGAGAGAGAGAGAGAGACAGACAGAGAGAAATAAATAGAGAGAGCGAGATAAAAAAGCCAGGTGTTATTACAGTACTTCCTTCCCCCCCACCCTCACCCCCTCCACCCCACCGCACCTACCCTACCCTACCCGGCCACACGAAACACACCACGTGGTATAATACTCACCGACGAGAGGCTGGTGCCGGTTCAGTAGCTCAGTGGTTCAGCGGTTCTGTGGTTCAACGGTTCCAATGGTGGGTTGAGTCTCGAGCGAC